ACAAACAAACAGGCATACATACACACCGAACCAGTAAAATGATATTAAAAAGAGTATATAGGGTGTATCAACTCTGATGCTGAGAATATCTCTTTTTAACCGACTTCAAAAAAAGGAGGATGTTCTCAATTCGACTGTGTTTTTTTTAAATGTTTTTTACTTCATAACTTTTGACTGGGTGAATCGACTTTGATGATTCTTTTTTTATTAGAAAGCTGACGCTTCCCGTGTGGTCCCATTTCAATTTAGTCCAGTTCTGATAGTGGTATCCACGAGAAAACCATATGAGTCTTAAATTCGCATGAAGTACGTACGCGGCAAATAGATGAATAACTCAATAACTCAATATCACTCGATTTCGATGATTGCTGTTTTTAGTGTATATTAATTTGTTTTAGAATATCTTTTTTTTTTCTATTTGAAGTCGGTTTTTGTTAAAGCATGTGTATTTACAATTATTAAAAGTGAATATCAATTGCTTCGTTTGTTTTTCTTGTTACACGTATTCCCTATTAGCCCCATTGAGCTTAGATTTTGTACAGTTGTTTTTTGCTTTTCAGGCAGGGTCTTGGGCGTATTACCATCGAAATACGACCGCGGGAGAGTATAAAAAGTAGTATCGTCTGTGAAGCTACATGGAAACGCTGCGTGACGCCGGAATTAATTAATTACTAAATGATAAAACGTGTTTTTTACTTACGTTTTTGATGCAACAACGCAGTCACAGTTACGTGTATTGCAACACGAACGAATTGTGCAACAGTTCAAAAATGGTATCCAAATAAAAACCAGGTCAGAAACGAAGCAAGAACGTAAAAGACAAATATTCCTGATGCACACTTATTTATAAGCTATAAGACTTTGCAAGGCCTCAAATATCGCTTCAATTGGATTTTTAATCAGTTTTTAATTAATAATTCTTGGGTCGTTTCAGCGGCGCGTTCATTGTGAACAACGACACAGACTTCGCGTGTAAGAGGTACGGCTGTCGCCGCGCGACTGAAAGCTGAAACTGAACGAAGGCGCCCAGCAGTCTCGATCCACCTGATCGGGACTACGACGTAGGGATAAATAGCACGTGGACGAGGCATTCCTGAGATTAGCAGCTATCTCTTTTCTACGCATGAAATTGAATGAAGTGCAACAAGGAAAGTGACAGATTTGAATTTTTCAGTTTGTATTGAAGGTGGGTTTTACTATCTGCAGAAAGGGCAACATATTAAGCTCTTTGAGTTCTATAACATCCAAAAACGAAAAAACAAAATGTATCTTTTCTTTTTTCAATTCTTCATATAACGCCGTATTTAAATTTGAACCTTATTGGCTTTATTCAAGACCTTCGTTACTTTACACGCCTACAACGAAGCACACACGTGCTGTTCATTTAATATTCAGCTCGGAGAGCAACGGGTAGCGGCCTCTGAACAACAATTTCACCGCACACGTTCGTTGCAATCGATTCACGTTATTAATTCAAGCGTTTTAAAGTGCCAATTCGCACTGCTCAATATTCCTATGAGCATCGATCTGCATACTTCATTTAAACCATCAATGTGTGTTTCTATGCGAGATAAACTGGAAGCGTTCTGTCAAACGAAGACAGGCTAACCTGATCTGACAATGCCGTTAACGCTGGAAGTAATGGGACCAAGCGTCAAAATTATACAGTAACCAGGTGCTACGCGCCGCTTCGCCCGCGTGGTCAAGGGAAAGGGTCAAAGCGATTTCCTATGGGAACGAGACGTTTTTTAGGGTTGAAATGTAGGGTTCTCCTAACCTAAGATTCTCTTCTTCTTCTATCGAGCCGGTGGCCGAACCTCCTACGATGTCCCCGCGCCTTGGGGGTGCGCGGGGTAAGTGTGACTTGATGATCTGCTAATGTTGGGAGCAGACGGCGGGCCCAAGGACGTTTTAGGGCCCTACCGCACTATACTCTCCTGCACTCTTACATCCGACGTCCGATCTTCGCCGGGGTCAAAACCCGGTCAGAGTAGAGGGGTTCTCGCGGACAACACTACAACCAGAAACGCAGCGCCACCCCGAGGACGCCCGACTGCCGGGTCGGAACGCGATACAGCGCCGACCGGGTTGCTCTTCCACAGTATGTTCGGCGACGCGTCGTCCCATCTTCCCGGTGCCAGCGCGCTAGAGTGACGGTAGCGTGCGGCGCTGACTCAAACCGCTTAGGTCGCCCCGTGACCATCACCGAGAGGAGACTGCCTCCTCACAGAGGCCGGGCTGGACGAACGTCCTCCTCCGACCCCCGGCTCGGCGGCGGTAGTACGCTGCCGAAAGGGAAAAGAAGCTCTTCCACTCCCGTTCCGCTGTCTCAAATGTCGAACTCCAGCTCGACCTTCCTCTTTTCTCATCCGAGCTTGGGACCGGCATTGGCAGAGTGCACAGGCAGTTCCAGTGTCCGTAGTCATTTTCCCTCCGCATCACGTGTACATACCATACCATCTAAGACCATTCTTGTGAGTTTTTCGACAATTGCCATATTAAAACTTCCGCATACGGGGAAGTTTTAAGATGGCAATTGTCGAAAAATTTTTGCTCATTTCGCAGTTTGTCGAGTCCGGGGTTACACTCTCCGACGATGTCAGCGTTTTCATTTTTAAAAACAATGAGAGCTCTTTGCTTCCTTTCGTCGTGGAAGAAAGACAAACAACCACACTTTCACATTTATAACATTAGCAGGTAGGTTCAAGTTATAAGTAAAGCAATTAATGAATATGGATTACTGGTAATAGGGCAGAGCGTTAATCCAAGCGCTCTAGTTTGAAGTTTGTGACAGCCTTTAAACAAAGCAATTGAGTCTTCATGTCCTAAGAGGGGTAGAGGCTTGTGTATGGCAAGTGACCACGCCCCAAGTTCATCTGCCGTTCTGTAGCAAAAAACTCCGAAAAACGAGCAGATCTGATGATGAAAGTGTAAGGCAGAAAAAGAAACCGATAGATCCATGCAAAATTCCAAATCCAAACGAATATCAAAATCGGCTCATATTAAAATCGACGTAAATACTTATTTACATTTTCGCTGTAAATTCAACTAATCTACGCGAGATTAAAATAATGATGCTTCTAACTTAAATACTATATTATTCTGAGAATTATCATTAACACTAACCGTAATTTAAAACTTTATTAAACTTTAAAAGTACGCCCTTTAGTATCAGCACTTAAGGGTAAAACGGCACTGTTCACTTAGTGTCTCGTAGTGCTACGAAAGTTCTACAAGTATTCTACGTATTCCGTAGAGGTAGCTACGAAGAGACCCAAAAGAGCTACGCACACTACGAATCACGGCTCGATTATTTTAAGTATAATACATCCATCCCCTATAACACGGTACTAACATAATGCCTAGTTATAACACGTATTTTACCCACACGTATTTTAACACGTATTTTTATAACGCGGAAAATTCCCGCATACTATTTCTGTTCCGTGAAATTTATAATGATTTATACAGTTCATTAAAAATATCGCGTACTTTTGCACGTTGTGTAAGAGTAAAGGCTTCATCATAATTTTTTCCTACCTAAGTTGATGATCTGGAGAGACCATGTCAGCGTAACCGGGCGAGTAGGTGAGCTCACGGGGCTCAAACCAGACGTTGTTGCTATCGCGAACCCTAGCAAGAGCCGTGTTTCGCAGAATCTACCACCGGATCAGAAAGGCGACCCACTGAGAAGATCCGGCGAGAAACTCAGTGCATGAATGTGTAATTGCTAGATAAAGTTCACAGAAATAACAGTTTAAAAGTATATATTGCTATTCGTGACGCGCGTGTTGGCTTGGAGTTTCTATCGCGTCCTTTAACATTGAAGTAATTATACAAAGTTGTGCTCTCTCTGTCTAGCGTACAATTAACAATGCATGAAGAAAGTTGACTATTTATTGACTTAGTCTTTGTTGCATAAAACAGTACAAAAGGCGAACTTTTATTATTAACTACTTAGGTGGGTGGACGAGCTCACGGCCCACCTGGTGTTAAGTGGTTACTGGAGCCCATAACCATCTACAATTTAAATGCCGCCACCCACCTTGAGATATAAGTTCTAAGGCCTCAGTATAGTTACAACGGCTACCCCACCCTTCAAACCGAAACGCATTACTGCTTTATAGCAGAAATAGCAAGGGTGGTATAGTACCTACCAGTGCGGACTCGCAAGAAGTCATACCACCAGTAACAGTAACTTAAAACAATAAGGCTTTATCTCTGACTACACCATAGGGCCGTAACATAAAAAATTGTGGGATAACGCAGAACACAGAATCCACAACGGTGAAACGAGAAAGAAAGCAAACAAAAATTAATGTATATGCTATTTGCTCAAAAATATTTTATCTTGATCTCCTACCTTGATCCTTTGTAGCTCTGATTAGCTTTAATCTATATATATAAAATTTAATTGCTGTTCGTTAGTCTCGCTAAAACTCGAGAACGGCTGGACAGATTTGGCTAATTTTGGTTTTCAATTATTTATGGAAGTCCAGAGAAGGTTTAAAAGGTAGATAAATATGAAAATGCTCGGAATTAAATAAAAATAACAACTTTGTTTTCCCTTTGTTGTGTCCCCCCACGGACGGATTCCTTTTGTTTGTTTTAAGTTTATTTTATACAAAAGTTTAGGTCTTGTATTTATCGATTGAGGCACTAAGAAGTCTGCCGGGTCAGCTAGTCTATACTAATCTATACTAATATTATCTATACTAATATTATAAAGAGGAAAGATTTGTTTGTTTGTTTGTTTCGAATAGGCTCCGAAACTACTGGACCGATTTGAAAAATTCTTTTTCCATTAGAAGCCAACATTGTCCCTGATGAACATAGGTTATTTTTTTTATTTTTTTTTTTTTGGTTTCGTGTTTGTTTTAATGTTTCCGAAGCGAAGCGAGGGCGGGTCGCTAGTACTAAATAAAAAACCAATGTACGCTCGGATAAAAAAAGACATTTTTGTTATCTAAAATAAAAAATTATCGGTACCATGTACTTACGTCCTTCTCTTTGGCGTAGTACAGAGTCCTGCCGCGGAGCCGGAAATAGCGGCGCTGCCATCGCTGGAAGCTGCGCGTCTGCTTCATCAGATAACCCTCCTTGACAATAGGCTGGTGACAAGAGAAAGAGAAATCTTTAAACCAGAACATTTAAACATACAATTTATACAAGTACAAAAAAAATTTACTTAATATTAAAAAAAAAAAAAAACATGCCCGCTGAGTTTCTTGCCAATTCTTTTCAGGACGGAGGCTAGTTTTTGTGAATTGGCGGTAGTTCTTTTGACGTTCAACAAGTATGTACTTTCATTTATGTTAAATAAAAAATTTTTTGATTTGATTTGAATAATTTGAACGAGAAGCGGTGAGAAGCCTAGCCTAGCCTAGCCTAGAAGAAGCCTAAAATTTTATTATAAAATAAAATTTTAGAAACGTATTAAGATTTAGGGAGCAGTTAGTGCAATATTAAAAAGAAAACCCGCCCGTATTTTTTAATTAAGTAATCACTGACTGACTAAAAACCTACTACATAAAAAGAAACTTTTAATTTTTATTTTTTATTGCTAAGATGAGTGGACGAGCTCACAGCCCACCTGATGTTAAGTGGTTACTGGAGCCCATAGATATTTACAACGTAAATGCGCCACCCACCTTGAGATATAAGTTCTAAGATCTCAGTATAGTTACAACGGCTGCCCCACCTTTCAAACCGAAACGCATTACTGCTTCACGGCAGAAATAGGCAGGGCGGTGGTACCTACCCGTGCGGTCCTACCACCAGTAATTACGCAAATTTATACCCGTGTTTCTGTACGTTTGTGCAGTCCAATGCGGCCTAATAGTCGCCCGGATTTCATTGGTATATGAGTAACGTTCCTTATGTATTTTTAGTGGTGAGTGGCTACCGTCGCCCATGGACGGCGGCAATGCCAGGGGCAGAGCCAACCTGCTGCCTACCGTTAAGCACTCTACTAAGTAACTAGTGTAATTATTAAGTAGTGTGTTTAATTAGAAATATTGGTGTCTGTCTGCGGAATTCGAACGAGGGCACAGTCGCATCGTGTCGATACGAATACACCGGGCGTCTTATCCTTTAAGACACGACAAATTAATTCGGATTTTATCAAAACTAAGAGTAACGACATCTATCGTCGAATAGCGGAAATGAATATCGAAGATAATAGTAAAATCGAGTAGTACAACGGCATCTATTGTCAGATAGCAGAAACACATATCGAAAATACTCGACTTGTGAGGAATGTTCACGATAATTCTAGACATGTCGTATTATTATTTATTCCGAACCCCAGCGCGTAAAAATACTATTATTAATAACATTTTTTTTATTGCTTAGATGGGTGGACGAGCTCACAGCCCACCTGGTGTTAAGTGGTTACTGGAGCCCATAGACATCTATCACGTAAATGGGCCACTCACCTTGAGATATAAGTTCTAAGGTCTCAGTATAGTTACAACGGCTGCCCCACCCTTCAAACCGAAACGCATTACTGCTTCACGACAGAAATAGGCAGGGTGGTGGTACCTACCCGCGTGGACTCACAAGAGGTAATACCACCAGTAATTACGCAAATAATAATTTTGCGGGTTTCACTTTTATTACACGATGTTATTCCTTCACCATGGAAGTCAATCGTGAACATTTGTTGAGTACGTATTTCATTAGAAAAATTGGTACCCGCCTGCGGGATTCGAACACCGGTGCATCGCTTCAACACGAATGCACCGGACGTCTTATCTTTTAGGCCACGACGACTTCATTTCTTATTGATCAACCAGATACAAACACATAAGCTTACTATCGATTTAAACTGAAACAAAATCAGACATAATGCTTTTGATTTCGATAAACATTCTCGACGTCACTGTTGTAGTGAAGTCAAAATTCACATTAATTATTCTTGTTTACGGGCCCCAATATTTTATTCGGAGTATTATTGTGAATTGCTATTCTGCTGAAGAAACATCTCGTTGTCTGGAGTGAGACGGACATTGCCGTGGACAGATTGTTATTTATTATAATTAAGATCTCGTACTGTTTGAGAATGCGAACGTTTGTCGAGATGAAAACGTGTTTTTGTGAAAACAAGAGTTTTTATTTTGTTAAAAAATTTCATGCTGGGCTTAAGTTTATTCTACTCCCTTTATCCTTTTTAGCTAGAGGCTAAAGCCGTCATAACGTGAATACTCACCGAGGGTCAAAATATATAAAATTTTTAAAGCATACTATACGTTTGACGACTTCTCAGTATACTGTATACTGTTAAAATTGAGATCTTAGAATTCTGGTCCTTAAGGTGGGTGGTGACATATCCTTTTTTCTTTTATTGCCTAGATGTGTGGACGAGCTCACAGCCCACCTGGTGTTAAGTGGTTACTGGAACCCATAGACATCTAAAACGTAAATGCGCCACCCACCTTGAGATATAAGTTCTAAGGTCTCAGTATAGTTACAACGGCTGCCCCACCCTTCAAACCGAAACGCATTACTGCTTCACGGCAGAAATAGGCGGGGCGGTAGTACCTTCCCATGCGGACTCACAAGAGGTCCTACCACCAGTAATTACACAAATTATAATTTTGCGCAAATTATAATATACGTTATAGATCCACACATCTAAGCAATAAACAAATAAAAAAAATGTGTGGTTATTATGATAACTATTAATTGCCTTGTATTCGACTAAATGGTAATTTTAATTAAGAGCGGGTAACACCGAATGGTTTTTCGGTTGTCATGGCGGGCAGACAAAGTCATTATATTCTCTTGTTGACAGCGGTCGAACGTAGTGGTCATACGCAAACCCACTGGATCTAAATCACTAATTATTATTGTAATCCCTGATTGTTTAAGTAATTTAATGGTTTGTATAACTTTGTGATGCCAACCTATTGGCATTTTCCCGCGTAATGGCCGTCGTTTTCGTTCGCTTCTGTATTATCAATCCATGGTGTTGCTTTGGAGCCCACTGGCAATGACAAAATCCCTCTGTCACGGTTGTTTGCTTTTATCTCAAGGTGGGTGGCGCATTTACGTTGTCTATGGGCTCCAGTAACCACTTAACACCAGGTGGGCTGTAAGCTTGTTCAACCATCTAAGCAATAAACTAAAAAAAAAACCTATACTATTTTTCTATCGTAATTATAAAAGTCTTCTCATTAAAACCATTCAAGATTTAATTAACAATGAACGCTTTTAATTAAGAGCTTCATTATGAAACAATTGTCGGACCGAAAGTGTAAAATAAAAGAACTTATTCTGATTTAAATATTATTCGATAAAATTTGGTGTTCTTTTTTTTTTATTGTTAATTCTAAAACAAAGTTTATGGAAACTTCTTTATACTTATAATTCGTGCGTTTGAGATTATGGGTGTGTATGTGTAGCGTTCAAGTTAATGTATCCGTACACATCGATAGCCTATGAACTACGTCTATCCATCTTCTCTATACATAAAAATTAATTGCTGTTCGTTAGTCTCGCTAAAACTCGAGAACGGCTGGAACCGATTTGGCTAATTTTGGTCTTTAATTATTTGTGGAAGTTTAGAGAAGGTTTAAAAGGTAGATAAATATGAAAATGCCGCAATTAAATATAAATAACAATTTTATTTTTCCTTTGATGTGTCCCCCGTCGGACGGATTCCTTTTGTTTGTTTTAAGTTTATTTTATACAAAAGTTTAGGTCTCTTATTTATCGATTGAGGCACTACGAAGTCCGCCGGGTCAGCTAGTCTTAGATAAATAATTAGTATTATATATTACTATGTGCGCGTTTGATCATCATTATAATCTACAGGCTTGACGCGTCCATTGACGAACCTAATCCAACCACTGCCACTGAACTTAGTCATCGAATTGTCCACTTGCGAGCTACATCAGTAACGCTGGATCTTTCTTGGATAACCTTGTCCCGGAGAACCCAAGAACAGTTCTCAAATTACAATTTTTTTTATGCTTATCTTATAAACAGCTCATATTGAAATCTATCCAAAATAACGAAACAGCAGAATTTTCATTAATTTCACATAAAAAGAAACCCAAGTAATACAACTTACATAAAACTGTTCTTATTAAAATGATATAATAATGAAATATCGAAAGATTTTTTCGCGGTAAAAGATCCGCGAAGGCAATTAAGTAAATTAAATGCGTTAATACTACGATTTTATACAGGGCGTGACGAAAACGTTTCTGAAACCTAGTGGAAGTAGGAAATAGTATTAGGAATGTAAACAAGTTTTGTTCGAGATGATACCAGCATCTCGTTTTTACCATCGCATCCTCTAAAGAAACAACTAGAGATCTTTGAAGGAGGCCTTCACCTAAGAAGGGTCCATGCATATAAAAACTAAAATAATAACGGTAATTGTTTGGAATAAAGGGCTTTTTATATATTTTTAATTATTTTTGTATTTTTCTATTATGATTTTACCCATCTTTTTTATTATACATAATATGTATTTGACAGCATGTTCAATTAGTGAAAGTAAACGACAGTGTCAGAGGGATTTTGTCATTGCCATTGGGCTCCAAAGCAACACCGTGCACTGATAATACAGTAAGCGAACAAAAACGACGGCCATTACGCGGATTTACGCGGGAAAATTGCTATAAGTTGGCGTCACAACCTTATACTGCACGTTTGGTGGAGTAACAATAATTGACACAAAATAAGTTCTGGATAATAGTCAATATACTCCAGGACTTTTGTGTGTCAATTATCGTTATTAACTTGATATTATAACGCAAAACCTAAAGTTATGTTTTCATGTTTTCTTCGCCCGATTGTCGCTTCGCCTGTTTGCGATCAAACACGCAAATCGATAATAAATCGTCTTCTTTACTTTGATATTTAATAATAATTAAAAAATAAATAAATACAACGCTGGTAGTTATGGCAACGATTGCAAATACTGAAGAAAAACAATCGAAGAATGCGGTGGCGATGATACCGTCTCTAATAACCGTCTCGATCGTTCTAGGAGCTTTCGTATGCTCCTCACTAGATGGCGTAAGTTGTTATTGTTTTGTCTGTTCACATTAGTCGTTAGTATCGATACTGGTCAAGAGGTGGCTCTCGCGGTAATTCG